CATTTCTTCTGTGTGTGACATATCGTTTTGTATTTTATTTAAAACTGTGTTTAGTGTTCGTTTTTTGAACACTGTTATTTTAAGAAAATAGTGTGAGGAAAATTTCAGCAATTATGGATAGAAAGAAGAAACTGTCAAACTATTATTGTTCAGTTCAAGGTTGCTCTTCATGGTCCAAGAAAAATCCAGAATTAAGTTTTCATCAAACCATTGAAGAAATTTTCAAAATATTATTGCCGATAGATAATACTCCCTGAATTTCATGAGGGTTGTTAGTAAGTAAGGGCACTAGTCTGCAGACATAATATAAATTTCTAAATTTAAATTAACTTTGCTCAATTTTCCCATATAGTACCACATGATCAGCCTTAAAAACTGCCTCTCCTTCTAATATACAACGAGAGTTTTCGTTAGCATATATGTAAATAGGAAATGTATTCCACAACGGATAAGTTCATAGTTATAACTTAATAAAATGTACATTACATTGTAATGCTAGAGACAAATAAAGTAGACATAAATACTTGCCTTAAAATTTATTTATGAAATATTTGAAACCTAAATTACTAATAATAATAGCAAATAAGACAAATGTTCAAATGAATGTGTAAACAGAAGTAAACACAAACGGGAATGTCAAAATTACCTTCTCTCGGAGCTTACTGCTTTCGCCGCTTGGTGCGCTTGCATCTTAAAAATTATCGCGGATATATTGCAATTTAATAATTTTAAGTGATGCTAGCGCCAAAAAATCCCTGGTGGCAGAAATCGCCGTCTTAACGTCTGAAGGACGTATTTTTGGTTCATTTTTCAACGACTGCAATGACAAAAAAAGATAAAAAAATTTAAAAATCCGACGTAAAATCTGTGATCGGATTCCTTGAAAATGCAGCTGGAAGTCACTATATGGGGTTTCCCAAAAAGTCCGAATTTTTCACCAAAATTTTTTTTCAAATTGGATTTCCGCATCGAAATCAGGTAAGGATTTATAAATGGAGTGAAAATATCATGGCATACCTTAAAGTTCAAGATACATGCATCCAAAAATTTTTTTTGAGATCTTAATGACCAAAATGCCAGCTCAAAGGAAAAAAACTCAAAATCTTTAGAAACTTTTTTCTTGAAAATGGTAGTTTCCGAAAAAATTTTATAGAACAAAACCTTAAAATTGCAACAAATACCCTTAAATTTTTACATAATGAGACGTTTTTATATTTTTCAAATTTGACCGTTCACTCCAAAAATTCTGAAAAAATTTGGACGTATTCTCTGATGAATTTCAAGAACTTTTTGTTCTATAACATTTTTTCTGAAACCCCATTGTCGTTGAAAAATTTTTTTTACGAATATTTTATTCAAATTTCATCGAATTTGGAAAAAACATGGGTTACGTAACGAAGCTCCAATCTATTAGCTTGAATGTGTAGTTAGGTTTAAAAATGTACTGGCTAATTCAATATTGTATCCCGAAAACTATAAAAAAAATGTTCTTCTTTGAATGTGCCATCTTCTGATTATGCATGTTTGCCGTTTCTGATTGATGCATTGCCCAACTCTTACCAACGTGGTTATGTAATTTTTTTAGTAATTTTGTTATATTTTTTTATAAAATAGGTGTAATTCAATTCTAGTATCAACTGAGTTAACTAAAGTAATCTTTTTTGTTATTAATGATATTGTTGTTCGAGTTATTGTTATTTTATTATGTTGTTCTTACTGTCATCGTAAAAGCTATTGTGGGACATCAAAAATCGTTTAGGTCGAATACAAACAGATTGGAATTTCATTACACAATACATGTTTTTTTCCAAATCCGATGAAATTTGATGAAATATTTGAAAAAAAAATTGTTTCAACAACAGCGATGGGGTTTCAGAAAAAATTTATACAACAAAAAGTTGGTAGATAAAAAAGGAGGAGAAAAACGTCAATTACACTGCTCTCAATAAGATTATTATAAAAGATAAATTTCCAATGCCCATTATTGATGAATTAGTTGATAAACTTGTCAATTGTAAATTATTTACTTGTCTTGACCTCGCTTCAAGCTATTATCAAATTCATTTGAATTCAACTGAGAAAATAGCGATAACACCAGAGGGACATTACGAATTCCTCCGTACTCCCTTTGGCCTAACTAATTCATTTGTATTCCTTTTGAATCAGTAGACGATGGGCTTATAAAGCTTCGCCACGTTCTTTCTATACTTCAAGAACATGGATTGACCCTATCTATCAAAATGCTGTTTTCTGAAAACTGAAATCACTTATCTTGGTTATGAAATTTCAGACGTTTTTATGTTCTTATGTCATAAAATAAACTTTTTCCTGCTCAAAATTACAAAACTATACGTTTTCTTAACTTTACTTGACTTCGCGATTAAAAAAACTCATATTTTTGAAAAAAAAATGCAACTGGAAATTTCAGGATCTATTGATATTTTATAAAAAAAAATTGAGCCAAAAATTTATGTCGATAGTCGATATTGACGATTTTTTTAAATTCAAAATTCTACAAATTTTTCATTCAAAATTATTTTTCGGAATATATTTATTTTTTTCATAGCATAGTTTTCGAGACATTTAAAAAATAAACTTGAAAAATGTGAAATTTAAATTTTGAATAACAAAAAAAAATTTTTTTATTTTTTTCCTTAGGCAGATCTTTGCTTTATAATAAAGGAAAACTTTTGACCAAATTTCGTCCAAATTGAAAGGGGTCGATTCCAACCGTCGGTCGATTTGACATGGAATTAGCATATTTCAGTTGAGTGGTTACTCGTCTCTCATAGTTCAGTACTTTTTCAACCGTAAGTCCCCTCACCTTTCTTAAATTGGAGTATTTTTTCTTGACTTTCAAGACCCCGGGAAATTGCCATGTTTTTGGACTTTTCCGAGTGGAAAAGCGGAGGAATCGAGAAAAGTCGCAGAGGAAAAATGTGGTAGACTCATCAAAACGAGAAATTGCCATGTTTTTGGACTTTTCCGAGTGGAAAAGCGGAGGAATCGAGAAAAGTCGCAGAGGAAAAATGTGGTAGACTCGTCAAAACGAAGCTCCTCAGGAGTTATAAAGTATGTGGTAATCAACTTTCCAGAGGGGGCCTGTACTGTGGACTATTCCCCGAGTCACACCTCTTGACTTTGTATGAAAATTGCCATTCCAACCCTGATAAAGGCGTGTATGTGGGTGGCAAAGGGTGCTGAGGGGGTTGGATTCATTTTCGGTAATCTTTTGTTTTCAGCAGCCTAGACAGAAGGGGGCGTATGGGGGTGTTAACGGGGAAATGGCTAGTTAAAATTTTTTTTATGGTCATATTCGACTTCAGCGACATCAAAAACGGAGGGGTGGGGGTCTACCCTGTGGATCTTGACATTTCGTTTTGTTCGTGTTGTGTCCAAACCTAAAAGTAGTCACGTTTTTTTTTCTCCTCCCGTCGTTATTGCAACCGTTGGACAAAATCGACGTCAGGATCGAGCACGCGGCAATAAAACGCACGCATAATTTCACCTTTTTATTTCAATATATTATCATACATGGGCATAAAATTCGCACAATATGTGCAAACACGCCGACAAGGCATTGTAAAAACTTGGTAGTCATACAAAAAAGTCACAAGGTATACCGAACATTTTTACAATGCCACACTTTATTCTTTTAAATATTACAGAATTTTGAGTCCATTTTTTTTTTTTAGTGTTGCAGTAGCCGCTTCTCCAAAACATACCGAGGAAAACATGAAAGCCCCTAAGGTTAATTCCGCAAATACAAAATCAAACACTGTATTACTGCGATACCCTAAAAAAAAAAATCACCACCTTCTAGAATATGTGAAAAGTCCCGTCTGCAATCAATTCTTAACGGGAGATCGGACGTCGCGCTCGCGTAAGCCGTACTTTTACTTCGGAGGTGACGCAGCGCGACCTAAGGCCCTAAGGAGGAAAGTGTGGCAGGCGTTACATCTCGATTATTTACAACAGTATTACAAATCCAACACGATTATACGGAGCGTTTCAGGACAAGGTTTAAGTTTGAATTCGGACGGTCGAAATAAGAAAAAACTGTGAAGGAACGTCCGGAAACGCTTCGAAAATTCCCCGTTTTCTTAAATATGTCTGAAGATGCTTCACGTAGAGTGACGAAACTTGGGGGAAACCCAATTAAAGGTATAAATCTTCGAATTCATTTAAAAAAACGTCGATCAGCGGCGGAAACACGGGATTTCATCGTTACTAAGAACGCCACTGGACGATATTTAAAATTTCCATCGTCGATTTGTTCCAATCAATTTAAAACAACCCTAGAACTGCTCGTTTCACAAAAATTGTTTCCTAAGCTTTTTTTTGCTGGAAACGCGATTTTAAAAGTAACGTGTCAATGCAAACGTCACGTAAATAATTGGTAATACAAAATAGCTTCGCTAAAGATTTGTTTTATACTTATTGTGCATGTCTACATTATATTCAAAAAAAAAAAATTAACGTCCAGAAATTTTGCATTTTTTCGAAATTTCGACACTAAAAATTTTTTGACCGTCTCAATAAATACATTTTATTTAAAATCACATTCCCAGCAATAAAATGCATAAACTTTTTTGTAAAACGAGTAGTTCCAGGGTGTTTTTACATTTTCGTCGAAAATTTTAATCAAGAATGCCTTTTTCTCATAAAATGAAAAATAAAAGTATTTTCCCTCTTTTCCAATCTCGTGCACATACACGTATGATTTTTCGCATTTTTTGTCCAAAAATTGCCAATTTCTCAAAGAAAATAATTGAGTATTTTTATTTTAAAAATTTTTTTTGGAAAATTATGATAACAGCCCTGGAAAACCCACCACCGGATGAACAAAAAACTAATACCAATTACATGGCAATAAATCCTAAAGACCTGTATTGAGTTTCATTTCTCACTAGTTTCGGAATTATTAAAAAAATTGTTTTAGGCGTCGCGACAATAACGCCGTAACTTTTTTACTAAGAATTTTGGGACCCATGTCTATAGCAAACTTTTTGCTTAAAATGATGTTTACTATCTCTCGTCTCAGTTTGACGCCATATTTTAAGTATAGAAAAATGGTGCATTTGAACTACTCGGGTTTTTGCAGTTTGTCGGCTGTTCAGTTTGGTACATTTGAACTACTCGCTTTTTTTTGCATTCGTTGATTTGGCTTTTCGTCGAAGTCCTGCAGGATTTAAAACACATTAACTCCAAAACGTTTCTTTACCGTTTTTAGAATCGCCAATGGCGCCAAATTTCCACGGTCCTTACTGATCTCCGTCACTAATCGACAAATTTTTGAATGAATTCCCTGGATTTACGCCATTAATCAGCTACGCCCCTGTTTCATCCCTCTACGCAAACATCTTCAGACACATCGTAGAGAACGCAATACTTTTTTCTTTCGAAAACGATGCATTCCCGGACATCTTTCACACCTCATTTCCGACCGCCGGAAATCACTTTCAACTCCCATCGATTACTCCCGGAACGTCCCGTACAGGATAACGATTACTTCCATTAAAAATTGCTTACAAGAGAACCTGGACCGTGGGTATGTTTTGAATGAACCGTAGCCGTAGCCGGCGACTATAAAAATAGCAAAAAAAAAAATCACCAATTAAGTCAAATGCGAACGTGTAACCAAACCGCCTGGCATTTCACCCGGAAACCTGAACGGCAAATTTTTCCACTGTACGAAAAGAAAGAGACGGACGGGAGCAGTTAAGTCCCGCAAAGAACCGCCCTACGCGAATTTTTTTTTGTATTTATTAAGTTTACATTCTGCGTAATGTAAAATTGTAGTTCACAATAACTTAAAATATGAGACACACAGTAAATTAAACATTTTTACTCTCTGAAGCTATGTTCTCCTCCCTGGGCTTCGCCCCGCCGAAGATCGACGCGTTCTGGGACGACTCGGCCAAGGCGTTCACCGGGTCCTTCACCGTCCTCGGCAGCAGCTTCAGCTTCGGCCTGCCGGATGTATCTGAAAACCCACACCCGCGACTTAGAAGTACAATATGAATACAGACAAACAGTATTAGATATTGCGGGGAAATAACTAATCTGGGGAATTACACCACCAATATCTAGCAAGCAGCTAAGATCATTCATCAGCAGAACCACCAGACGTGTACCGGTTTCGAACATGTCAGTTCCCATTGCCATGCATTAGGCGAGGCGACCGACAGACGATTTAGCTCTTTAGATGTATATCTACTTCAACGTTTTGAGTGAGGGCAAGATGTAACCTTAGTATGTCATCCCTTCATGTCATGTCACTGCTATTGTCAAGTCAGTCGCAAAAAAAGTCTATAGATTAGTTAGTAGGCCTGTGCCATAAGAACAAAAGCTACATTTTTTGTCGGTAGGTACAAATGTAACACTTTGTGTCAGTAGGCACAAAGTAATGTTTTGTGCTAGTAGGCATTGAGTACCAATGGCATTTGAGATAGGGTATATATTGTAGGTTATTACTCACGGTCACCCAGCACACTTGTAGTCCAGGAAGATGAGTAAAAAATAAGTGAACTTTTTTACTATGAAATTAATTTTTTTATAGAAGAGTGTAGGTTTTGAGGTTAGAAAACATGTGCCACACGCGACATACAGCGTTTTGAGATATAGAGATATGTATACAGGGTGTTGTAAAATGTTGTTCAGAGAATTCTAGAGCAGATTCTACATCTAAAAATACCAAAAGAATTCCTGTAAACGTAGGTCCGCTAATGCTTCATTAATTTTCAAAATAGACGTCAAAAAAAATTTTAAAAATGTTTTTTATTGAAAATTTCAAAATTTTTCATTGGAAACCGATTTATGATAAATTTGGTATAATCGATTGCATTGCAAACCTATCAGGGGCGTAGATATGGGGGAGTACCTACCGATTTTTGACCAGAAAGTCTACGCCATTGATTTTTCTACAGGTTTTTACTTTATTTTTAGGAACCTCATTTCTTTTAGAACTTTTTGCTTGTCATTTAGCGATCGCCTTTCGAACTATTGAAGATTTTTAAAAATCATGCTAATCTATCTATGAAACCACTACCTACCAAAAAAACATAGTTGGTCACTGAGAAATAACATGCGCTGTCACTATGGAGAAATAAATGACCCAAATTTAAAGGATTTCCAATGAAAAATTTAGAAATTACCAATAAAAAACATAATTTTTTATTTTTGGAACTATTTCGAAAAAGAAGCATTTGCGGACCAAAATGTATAGGATTTTTTTTGTATTTTTGGATGTAGAATCTGCTCTAGAATTTCCTGAACAACATTTTGCAACACCCTGTATACAGTATGTCTTCGGTTGGAGTGGAAAAAAGGGAAAATATTTTTATTGTTCATTTTACGAGAAAAAGGCATTCTTGATTAAAATTTTCACTTGTCTTTAAAATGTCCTCAAAGATAAGCAAAAATTTTAATCAAGAATGCCTTTTTCCTGTGAAATGAAAAATAAAAGTATTTTTCCTCTTTTCCACTCTAGCCGTGGACATACTGTGTATGTATGATTTTGTATTTTTTGACCAAAAATTGTCAATATCTCGAAGAAAATAATTGAGTATTTTTGTTAAAAATTTTTATTGGAAAATATGATAAAAGCCCTGGAAAACCCTCCGCATCTCCACCACTGGATGAACAAAAAACTAATACCAATAACATTGCAATAAAGCCTAAAGACCTGTACCGAGTCATTTTTCAGTAGTTTTGGAATTATTAAAAAAATTGTTTTAGGCGATGCGAATTTATAACACCGTAACTTTTTTACTAAGAACTTTTGTACCCATGTCTATAGCAAACTTTTTGCTTAAACTGATGTTTACTATCTCTCGTCTCATATATCTCGCCATATTTTAAGTATAAAGAAATGGTACATTTGAACTACTCAACTTTTTGCAGTTTCTTGGCCGTTCATTTTGGTACATTCGAACTACTCGCTTTTTTTTTTTGCAGTTTGTTGGCCGTTCATTTGGCTTGACAAGCGGTGCTTTTTCCCCGAGATGGTACATTTTCGCTTGCGTGACCGACATGACGATGTCATCGTCAGTATTGGTTTTGCCAATTTTATTTATACAATTCACTGTAAAGTGTAATCTATATTAATCTAATTTGTGATAATATATTTTTGGGTCCAATATTTCAGTATTCAATACTTGGACTGGGATTAGTAAAGAATTTCAAAGAAAACAGATTTTTTTTGGAAAATTTTAAAAAGCGCATAATTAATACGAATTAACATTACGAAATGTACACCCTTGAAAACCTATAAAATGATATGTTTGATGCTCGTAAATAGTCAAACCTCGGACAACTATATAAGATTTTTCAAGAATATTCTGTAATTTTCTTTTCTCTAATTCACTTTTGTTATTTAAAAATGAATTGACCATCATTTTGGCTGCAAAACATTAATTTTCACATAATCTGTACTTCGTTTAAAAAATATACGTGAAAACTATTGGGAAAATCGAAATTTTTCATAAGAGCAATTTTGTAGGAAACTGAATTGTGAACAACTTTTATGTGAAATTTTTTTCGAAAAAATGCATCTTCATTGAAATATGGCACTGTTTTGTCAAAAAAAAGGTTAAAACTCGTATATATACGTCTACATCTCAAAACGCTGTATGTTGCTGGTTGTGGCGTGTGTGTGACACATGTATTCTGACCTCAAAACCTACACTCTTCTATAAAAAAAAGTTTCAGAGCAAAAAAGTTCGCTTATTCCGTCTTTTTATGTCCAACTTTCCTGGACTATCGAGGGTAAACGTTTTTATAAGAATTTACAATCGCGGGTCAACTCAATTTTTCACCCATTACTGTTAAACAAAAAAAAAAAGTTCTACCTACAGTCTACAATCTTGCAACTTTGTAAACTGTAACTTTTACACAGACTGGTGCAGGTTTTAACTGGGAAATATCACGAAACGACGGGACAACTAAGTTTAAGCAAAAAATACACTTATAGAACACTTTAGTTTGCATTAAAAGGTGTTTCATAAAAAAAATATATATATAAAAAATAAATCAAGAAGACGTTTAATGTACAGTAACGAAACTTAGGCCAACGATATTTGTACCCTTCCGTGTATCTTATAAAATCGACCAGTACTTTCAGTGGTATTTGAAAAAAAAAAAAAGTTACAAAAACGATAAAAGCAAAATAAAATTTTAAATACAGCGCAAATCAAAAGTCTAAGAAATCATTACTGTAAAAAAATTTTTTCTCATAAATACTGCATTTCTATATCCAGAATCTGTTTTTGATAAAAAAAAAAACAGATTATTTTTTATGCGTTATTTAATTATTTTCAATTCATTCACCACCGAACAGCAACGGATTTTTTTCATCTTCCATGGAATACATTTTAAATAAAAATGCTAGCACGATACAATTCTTCGTGCCGCTAATGAAAGAAAAACACCGTTTTAAAATAAAAGTCACTATTCGAATAAGATATTTTTTTCCAAAATTATGTTACACATTTTTTTTAATTTCAACACGCTGTATATCGAAAACGAAGTGCTTTCTGCCGTGCATTACGAATTTTTTTTTTCGAATGGTTTTTTTTGTTACCAGACGAGATTTCCCTATTGAAACCTACACCACCTTCACATAATATTTTCAAAAATACAGAAAATACTTAGAAAATATCATTTAAATATATTTATATTTAATCTCTGAAGAAGAAAGTAGTTTCCTGTACGTTAAAAATAAATTTAAATATAACGAAGACACAAAAAAAGCATGCGCCTACAGAATTCAATTAAAAAAAAATACATTATAGGCGAAAGCTTCGAAGAAAAGACGAGAAAGGGCCAAACGACAAAGAAAAAAGTATGATCGAGTGAACGGCTCTTACTCACCTGGAGCAGGGTTGGGAAGATCTTCAGAGAAACTCCTCCTCTCCTGGCGAGGTCTGCCGCCGCCGAACCCGCCACCGGGGTTTCCTCGTCCCCTGTTTGCACCCCACTCGCCCCCGCCACCTCGTTGCGGCCCTTCGTCTAAAAAAAGACGGTGTACATACATTTTAACTGTGCGTATAATTTGCCATGTCAAGATTTTCAAAATTACAAATTAAAGTTCCTAAACTAAAAATTTAATTTTCGGAAAAATAAACATTTCCGACGCAGAATGAAGTCAACAACGGAAGCTGGAGGTTACACTCACCTGTGAAGTTTCCGTAGTTGCCTCTGTAGCCGCCCCTTTCACGGTCGTTGAAGTTTCCCCTCGGGGGTCCCCTCCTCTCGAAATCGTCGTTGCCGAACCTGCCGCCGCCGCCTCGCCCTCGGCCGCCTCGTCCGCCCCTGTCGAAGCCCCCAGCTCTCTCGTTCCTCTTGCCTAAGTTTCAATTAAAACTATATTATACACATACGCATATTTTTTTATCCATACCAAATGCCCAATACAAAAACACATAAACTTGACAATAGTCAAAACCACGGTGAAAAAAAATTTATTTTTTTTGAATACGGTCCAAGAAAATTGTAATACTCGAGCAAATTCATAAAAGTAAATGTATTTTATTTGAAACAAAAAATTAACAAAACTTAAATTTTTTATTAGTAAACAAGTAAAAATAAACAAAATTCATTTCTCTATATAGCCCAGTTACTGTAGCTGGAAACATGGTAATACCTCCAAATTTTTTTTAACTGCATCGATTTTTCTCAAAATTTAGAATTAGGCTCCCCTTACCCCCCACCACCCCTTATTGGAAAAAAAAGAAAAAATACAAATTTAAGCGTTTTATGTAATCAAATCTTTTTTATTTATGCAGTATGAGTAATTTCATGTGCTATCTAACATGAAACTTAATGTATCCCAAATTTTCAACCCGAAAAAACCCTTAAAAATGACCTTTGGATGAAAATAATATAAAAAAAATTTTTCAACTTGAAACGATTTAATCATGCATTTTTATCAAATTAAAATTGATCTCTTGATTAAAAAATCTTTTTTATCGATTGCAACTTTTCAACCCTTGAAAAATCCCCTTCTTTCGAAAATAAAATGAAAAAATATTATTGAAAGAGTAGAAACATTTTAAAAGTGCATTCGTATTAAATAAACATTGATTCCCTTCTTATAAAATGTTATAATGCAAGTTTTTATACCTTCTTTCAAAGCAATTTCACTAGCTTTTACCAAAGCAGTACAAGGTGTTGTAATCACTTGGTGATCCATTAATGAAAAGTAAAAAATTTATTTTGGATACATCATAATTATCTTTACAACTTTCTCATAAAACCATTCCAACCAACGAAATCATTTTCTTCTATTTAGCCCGGTCATTATAGACATGAAAGAGCCTGTTTCGGGAAAAAAATACTATTAGAAGTTTCTCTGCGGAATATTGTTCGGAAACCTGTTATAAATAAAATATCAAAAAATCAACTTGAGGCTAGTTGGGAAACTTTGTTTTAACAGTGGTCAAAGTTATGGAAAAGTGGTTTTTTGACTCACGTAAAAAAGCTATTATTCATAGCGAAAAAAAGTTTATACAAAAAAGGTAGGTATTAAATAAGCCTATAAAATGAAAAAAGTCCGATTAAATTCCGATAATTTGTTTATGCACAAGAGCTCAAAAATGGTCGAAAATTGCCGTTTTTTTCAATTGCTAATAATTAATGCAATTTTCATCGCAGACACTTGTAATTCAGGATTTTTGAGGCTTTTTACACCCTTAATAAGTGGTAAAAATTTCAGCTCGAAAGCTTCATTGGTTTGGCGTTGGCGGAATTTGTTATCTAAGAAGATGCTATTTTCAATTCATTTTTCCCAAGCTCACAGGCGTTGTAGGGTTTTGATCATTAGTTGTTTTTGTACCTAAATAGTTGTATTGACATAGGCATTTACTGAGAATTTAGTTTTTCAAATTTAATTTGTTTAAAATTGACTGAAAAAATGTTAATATTTATTAAATTGTTAAGATAGGTAATTATTATAAAATAAAATAGTAACCTCTTTACTTTAGTTTTCTTCGAATTTAAAAAAAAAATCGTTGTTGTAAGTTGATTAGAAGCTGAGATAATTTTTTTTATTTATTTAATCGCAGTGACCTTAATTATTAATATTAAGAGCCGAAATTTAGAGAGAATATACATTAAGAGCTATATTTTCATGTCCTACATTAACATTAACGTGAATTCAACTATTTAATTTCGAAAAAGAAGATAGCGGTGATGCGTTCTATTACTTGGTCTAGAGAACGAGTGGGGAAGGCGAGGCTTAGCATGCGCGCTTAACGATGTAATAAATATTAACATTTTTTCAGTCAATTTTAAACAAATTAAATTTGAAAAATTAAATTATCAGTAAATGCATATGTCAATACAACTATTTAGGTACAAAAACAACTAATGATCGAAACCCTACAATGCCTGTGAGCTTGGGAAAAATGAATTGAAAATAGCATCTTCTTAGATAACAAATTCCGCCAACGCCAAGCTAATGAAGTTTTTGGGCTGAAATTTTTACCACTTATTAAGGGTGCAAAAAGCTTCAAAAATCCTGAATTACAAGTGTCTGCGATGAAAATTGCATTAATTATTAGCAATTGAAAAAAGCGGACAATTTCGACCATTTTTGATATCTTGCGATGTGCATAAACAAATTATCGGAATTTAATCGGACTTGTCTTATTTTACAGATTTATTTAATACCTACCTTTTTTGTATAAACCCTTTTTTTCTCTATGAATAACAGTTTTTTACGCCAGTCGAAAAACTACTTTTTCATAATTTTAACAAAGTTTCCCAACTAATCTCGAGTTGATTTTTTGATATTTTGTTTATAACACGTTTCTTAACAATATTCCGCAGAAAAACTTCTAATAGTATTTTTTCCCGAAAAAAGCTATAATGATTGGCCTAATTATAATGTAGTACTATTTATTCGAATATACACTCATACTAAATACGTATATATACAAAAAAGATTTAAATGCTAAAATTATCACCTATACACGTGTTTATTTTTTTGACGATAACTTTCTTACTTTTTAAGATTTTTAATCGCACAAAGGCTCATTGTGCAGGGAATTGTAAGGGCTACGTGAAATGTTGACTTGATCTTTTTTAAGCCATTCATTTTTAAGTTTGAAGGATTTAAAGGGTTCAAAGAGGGTGGTTTTGTCATTCATATGATAACTTAAAATGGCGATATCTCGATTAATATTAATTTTAGAGCAATAAAAAATTAAAGCAAAATCTTCAGCAAAAATAAAGCAAATTTTTTTTACTCTTGTATTTTTTTCGTATATCCTTTAATTTTTAAGTTACAGCGTAAAAATCGAATTTTTTTCAAAAATTTGAAAAACACATTTCAAAAATTAAGTTTTTTTTCGAAATCATGCTTTGTAAGTGAGCCAAAGACCCAGAACACATTCTTAGAACATAAATCAAGAAATCTATAAATGGATTGCATTTAATTTTAGTTCTGTCGCCAAAGGCACTGATTTGTTTATTAATTTTTTCTTAAAAAAAATAAGACTATCATGTTATTTCGATCATATTTCCATTAATTTTGATTCAAAAGACTTTTAAAACAGCTCATTTTAAAGGGTTTTCAAAGTGCTTTAAAAAAGGTTCAAATAGTTTTTTTTAAATATTTATGGTTTTGGCGTTATTTAACGTTAACTGGTTCCAATTTAGTTTTTGCTAACATATAATAATGTTTAAAAATCCATAACTCGGTTTATATTGCAATTAGAGAAAAAACAAAATCATGCTATTAGATTTATTTTTTATTATCTTTCTTTTTGTTCATTACAACTTTTTCGTTAAATCCAATGGTTTCAGTTATTTGCAAAAAACTGTCCGAAAACAACAACTTTTTCAGTAAAAAATCAACATTTTCATTCACGAATTACTCGGAAAGTATTGGATTATCCAAAAAACTTTATATAACATTTGTTACTTAAAATTGACTCCTCTATCGAATCCTGTGGTTATTTTGGGCGTAAAAATTTCCACCCCCCGAGCAAAAGCACACTTCGGCACTATATAAGTTTTGTTCGTTGAGGCATTCCCCACATTCAGTCAAAATTTCACGTCAATCGGTTGAGTTATAAAGAATTCGGAGGTAAAAACCCCGAGTAACTGGACTAATAAGTAAACAAAACATTTTAGTGTTTTTTTTTACCAAATTTCAACATAAAAAACTAAATGCAGAGTCCTATCGGCTTCGTTTTAAACTAAAAATTGTCGGATAATTATTTCATTAAAATTATTTCTAAAGGTTACTTTTTTATATATATATATTATTTATATTGCAAAACATAGAAACTAGGACCCGTTTTATTTAAAATTGTAATAAAACTAACATTTTTTCCACGTTTTCCCAATTTTTCTATAAAAGAAAAAAAATCCCAAAAATTTGGATGTATAAATACAAAGCAATGAAAAATTATGAATAACTGTTACTGCAGTTTGCTCTTGCATTTTTTAATTTTTTTGTAAACTGCAAGCAAATATTTTCATCACAAATAACTTTTTGCATAAAACCACAAATAAAAATGTTTCGCGTCTCGTCCGCTCCCACCGTTTACATAATGTATATAAAAACCACCTACCTTCCGCGACATCAATCTTCACGATATGCGACTCCACCTCGACGGAGCCGTTCATGCTGATGGCCTGCTCGAGGTCCTGGAGCGTCTCGAATTCCACGTAGCAGAACCCCTTAAATCTGTCCGTCTCCTTGTCCATAACCAGCCTGACGTTCTTCACAGACAGGTTCGTGAATATTTTGTTGACGTCTCCCTGGACGAATCCGTACGGCAGGTTCCCTATGTAGGCTGTGAAGGGAGGTTCGGTGGGCAGGGGCTTTCTACCGCCGCCGCCGCCTCCTCGCCTTCCCCCTCCATAATCCCTGCAAGACGAATTTGTTGAAATCAAATCATAACGCTCTTAAATAACTTCTGTGTCTGAAAAAATTACTCTCGTCTGTTAAGCAAAAACGGTTCGTGTAAAAACCAATTTCAATGTTATTTTCACTGAAGAAAATAATCACACAGTGTGCAATCTACGTTATTGAAAATAAATTTGACTGACCATAAAAAAATGTGTTACGGTGATATTTATAAAACGATGAATCAATTTTGTTTATGTTTAGATGAAAATTGGTAACAGTATCATTTATACGTGCCTCTTATCGCTAAAACTCACCCTTGCAAATATATTGAATGAAATACAAAACCAAAATTTTCCATCGAAAGCAAATATATTTGATAGTTTACATGTTTCAAGTCTTTATCAACTTAAATCATAGTATACTTATAAAAGAAAAAATATCCAATTTAATTTCTTCAGAAAAATAAACTAACACGTAGATTGAGCTGTGGCAAGCTTTACTTTATCGGTAACATGAAATGTACCAAACCCATAAATAAATGTGCAAACATCAATTTTACATTAATAACATTGTTTTTGATAAATTTCCTTAAATTTGTAGAAGTGAGTCAGTCCTGATATGACATGACTTGAAGCACACACTGTGTATATATTAAAGAATTCTCCGGTATGGAATTATACAGCTGTTGATATTATTATTCAATACAATTTTAATACAGCCTTGTATAAAGCGTAAGCATCGTAAATGTATGTTTTTTTCTTGACTTATAAAAATTCAGCATGTGCATCAAAATGCAGCATTGCCGCCTAGATACAAAATATCACTAAAATCGCACTTTTCACACAGATTTTTTTACCGCAAATCTTAATCAAGGGCAATAGCTGTGTGATCACACAAAAACACGTATTACTCCTACACTATTTTAGTTAAATTTTCAATTTTTACCTGTTGTCTCTATCATCATAACCGCTACGACCGGCCATGTTTTATATTAAGGGGCCTGCGCACTGCGTCCTTTGACACAAACTTGAAAAGGGCAGCCAACGGTATCATATCATTTTTTTCCTATTTTGCACGACAAATTTTTGAAAATTTCACGCTTTTAATCTCAACTAAATACCAGTCAATATTTAGAGGTATTATTAATTGATTTGGATACGTTAGTTGACAGTTACTGTTTCTAAACTGCTAATTTTAATTTCTTAAACAAAAGAAACACACAAAATTAAGGTTTTAGTCCATTTTTGACGGTCACACAGGAATTAATTAAATTATGTCATTTCGACAAGTTGTTATGTCAATTTGACACATGATTATAAAACCAAAAGTAATTTGTTGTTATTGTCAGCTTTAAAAATGTTAACAATCAATCCGTTCAAAGGAAAAATTTCTACAACGAAACGAAATCTCGGTATTAACAGTTTATGGGTAATTTTTGTTCTCGTTGAAAATCGCTTTGACAAGAAAATTTCTAATTTTGTTAAAACGTAAAAGTAACCAAGCAACAAATGTCAAAATGGCGGCTGACGAGCACGTGGAAGAGGTTAATTCAAATGAAAATGAGAAATCTACGAGAAAAATCGAAAAGACCATTTTGGACAATTTTTCCAACTTAGTGAAGCCACAGGAAAAAGTCCGTATTAGAAGTAGTGTTAATCTTATAAAGTATTTAGTAGAAAACGAGGAAAATGTAAGGTTAAGTGTGTTTTCATTAAACGTAACTTATTAATTTGGTAATAACATTACAGGCAAACGAGTTAAAATACGCACTTGGGCGAATAATAAGGGGATTGGGATCATCTACAGTAAGTGCTAGAACAGGTTTCTATACAGCTTTAGTAGGTCTGATCAATACAAGAGACGATATTTCAGTAACTGATATCTTTAACCACCTCGAGAAAGAATTACACAAAGCAGGAAGTAACACCAAAGGGGTAAGTTTAGTGAAAGGTTGAACTGCCTTTATTATAAACTTACTTTTATAGGAGAACGCCGATATATATCTGGGACAAATATTAACATGTGGCGCTATTATGAGGTCCGAATTATGGTCCAGGTGTTCAGAAGAAGAGCAAAAGAGAATAATAGAATTACTGCTAAAAAATTCTAAAGAACGGATATATCTCAGCTTAGTCGCTTATAATTTTATCACTGATAAGTTTAAAGAGGTAAAGCATTAGAAAAATCATTTTATTATTTGTAGTATATTTTGATAATTTTAGATGAACGAGCGTGATTTTAAAAAGACGTTCCAAATAATAAAGGAGACGTTATCCAAACCGTGGGCCGAGCAAAATATCGATTCCCTATATTTATTGCTGTGCGTTAAAAATAAAAATTCAAGTTATGTGAATAACAAGTTTTTACAGAAGACTGTTGGTACAAAAGATATAATTTGCCCAAAAAGCTTGGAAGAACTGTGCAGCATATTAATGGTAACTCATCCTTATTTATTTTTGGTTTCATACGTAAATTTTTTTTGTTTTAGACTATACCTAGGGTGACGTTCTTGAAACACCCAATATATGAAATTATCGGCAAAGATCTTGCCGTTTCCGAGCACTTAATCCCTTTTGTGCAAATCGTCGATGCAAACCTACAAAGGCCCAATAGAAACAAACAACTTATCGCTACAAAGATCTATTCTATAATATTACAAAACGTACAAAATCTCGATTCGGTACCTCAAATATTAACGAAGAACTTCATCCAGCAGACTTTGAACTATTTCAAGACCTTCAAAGGTAAAAATAAGGACGCGGAATTCCAACAGAGCACCAACAAGTTTTTCGAAACGTTACTAGAGACCCTGAAACGGGACGGAGCAAAATCCCAGACCAAGATAGCGGTCTTGAAGAAACTACTTTTCTATCCCGGCACTTTTATTTTCGAAAAGATCACCAGAAGCAAAGTGATCCAACAGATAACTTACAGCTTGGATAACGGCGGTGTTAAAATGTTGGCAACGCTGTACGAGGGCGTGATCAAAGGCACGGAGAAAATCGATAGCGAGGACGCAAGGAACGAAAATTGGTTGAATAACGATAGACTGTACGCCGCCCATTTGCTGATAAAACTGCTGAGTCACGCCTCGATGAAGGACGAAAACGAATGGAAGACGGAGAAACTGGGCTTTCTTATGCATCTAGGATTGTTCCGAATGGATAACGGGGCCAATATAGGATCCGAATTAGCAGGTAATAATAATAATCTATTAATGTTGGATAGTTTCATCGCGACGTGACAACAGCACTTAACCTGCTGATACACGCCTCGTGTGCATGCAGCAGACTTATCCTATGGAAAAAATGTAAACAACTATTATTGTGAAACATTTAGTAAATTTCAAGACAATCGTTTTCCAGTTTTTAAATAAATAAAATAAAATGTATCGATTTCGTAGTACGAAGATAGTGTTGTGCTTAAATTTTAGCTCGAATTTTAGTAATTATGAATCTCTTAAAAACAGGAACTTAACTTTTAATCAAATTATGTATTTGAAAATTATGTAATTAAAGTACCCAAAGATTCAAGTCGTCCACATAATCATACGTATTAAAAATAATTTAGGTACTTACCAAAAAGCACAATTCGGTAATTTTTGAACGCACAAGTACAAAACAATCTACAACATATGCTCAAACTGTTCACCACCATTTTCGATGCACGTACGACACCTTCGAAACCAATTATCATGCACTCGCTGGAAAACGCCTCAAGAAAAGAAATTGTACGCAAAAAACACTCCGACACGGTCCAATTCCAGACACCAACTGAATTGCGTATTGCCGGACAGCTTAGTATAGTTGTTACGATGTCAATTGGAACCTGTAAATCTTAAAGCACAGGACCGTATGCACTTCTCCTGAAATTTCTTCTTATGCTTTGACCATGGTGTGTCTCGTAATTTATACTCTAATAGCAATCGGTGAGTCCGGTATTGGTAAACTAGTCCGCCTGATGTAGAATTGACGGCGGTGCGCTGGTCATCAAAGCAAACCTGTATTGGTCCACTAGGTCATAAATAATTTTTTTGTATGGTACACGGGTTCACTTAGTTTTTCCGTTTTGTCAGTGCAGTGCAGAGAATTGCTTGGCGGGGTATGTTGTTGGTATAATACGTATTATTATTTATTAGTAGATATTATTATTTATTCATATCGTAACCAGTAAAGTTATTATAATAAATGTTATATGTAATTATCTGGTAATTTAACGTAGCTCCCTGAAGACTCTTTGAAGCGAAGGATAACGAAATAACTCGGGAAAATCCCCAAATAGTGGAACCGGTTTTTGTCGAATATATTGAAACACACTCAGAGTTTAAAAACAAAGATTTACACATAAAAAGCCAACGTATTATATTGAATATATATGAATGTTTGAAAATTGAAAATAGTGAACAATGTGATAAAAAAGTTAGGAAACGGATTAACGAATTAACTAAGATATCAAAAACGATAATTTATCCCGTAATTAAAGAGGGATTGATCACGGTACAAAGAGGAAACGGAAAAATACAAAATTAAAGAAAATTAACGATTTTACCAATGTATTGCGGCGCACAATTTATAATATGTATAAAGAAAATAAAGTTCCTACTTTAAAAACGATTCGAGATAAATTAAGCGATTATCCTGATTATAATTATAAATCTTTAGATATTTTACGACATGCGATATATTAAGATGCGATTTTAAACATAAAAAAACTTGACGATCGTATGGTAATATAGCTCGGAATATAGTATAAGGGCTAAATTTTTCTGGACGTCTATGGATTCCGTAGAATTTATGGGTTAAATGTTTTTATGCGGTTCCAATTGAGATCGTAACAACTATACCTCGTGCTATCCGCCGCGCCGTTGTCACACTGCTCGATATGAATTTTATCGAATTTTAAAATTAATAACGACCCTAATTATTTTTTAGAATTAAGCATCGTTAACGAAAAAGTAATTCATCGGAAGTGATTCATTTTTCGAATAAAATATTGACTATATTGACAATTGATTCACATTTTGTACCGTATAAAATGTCTCTGATAAAACGATCTGTTTCATTAAGATTTTTATACACTTCTAAAATGTTTGCTTCATTAGAAAACTTGCTTTTATAGGAAGCAGAAATAAAATTACTGAATTAAAAATTTATCGTAATTAGCGAGTTTGTAACTCGTCAGTGTTGAACTGGTAGTAGTTCGAGTGTATGACGTAAAAATGATTGACATTTCAAAATTTTTGAAATTAAAATGCCATTGTTAATGAATTATCTTTGCAGCTTCCTTGAAAACGGCATTTTTTGGATCGTTGGACATGAAATTGTTAAAACTGGAAGATATACAAACGATATTGTCCCGCCTGGTACGAGAATTAGATTCCAAACTAACGCCCGACAACTTAGAGATAATACTGAGGAACCCTATACCCGCCGAACAGTACGAAACGTGGCAAAAGACGATACAGACCATAACGAAAATCGAAAAGAAAAAGAAAAAAGGAGGATTAAGATCCGTGTTCCTAACCCTATTCCTACACATGGGCATGCAACTGTTCAACGACGCAAACTTAGCTTCGGATTCCTTAAAAGAACTCTTCCTGTGTTACGAAAAGACCAGAAAAAACAGGACGAATTCTGAGAGCACGGACGAAACAGAAGAACGGAATGACACCGTAAAAACCAACGATCCCGCTTGGATCGAAGTGGTGGCTGATCTATTCCTCAACTTACTCTCCCACAACTCGCACCTGCTGAGAACTCTAATAAAGTGCGTGTTTCCCCACTTGTGCCGCTACATGACCCCCGCAACTATTCACCAAATCCTCTCGGTGATCGACCCCAAAAATGAAGACAACCCCTTATCTAAACGTAACGATAACGACGAGGACGATGACGAAAACAACGAAGAGGAAAACGAATCGGACCCGGACGAGAAAGAATCGGAAGAAGAGGAGGATCTGGAAGACGTAGAAGACGAATCCGTGAACGACAGGCTGCGGATGGCCCTCCACAAAGTTCTCACCGATAACGGATATCAGTCCGACGAAGAGAGCGTGGATCTGGACAAGCTGAGCGATACAGAGGGCGAGAAGCTAGACGAGGCCCTGGCGGAGGCGTTCAAACAGTTCAGGCCGAACCACGGGAGGCGCAAGAAGCAGAACAAGGACCAAGAAACGCTGACGCATTTCCGCGTGCGAGTGTTGGACTTGATCGACATCTACTTGGACTCCACGCCGTCTATGATACTCGCACTGGAGATTATGTTACCGTTGCTGCAAGCTGTGGAGTTCAGTATACGCGACCAACACCAGAAACCGTTGCACGACAGGTTAAAGTCGTGTCTGAAAAAATTATCTTCACTGAAAAAGTTCAGCGATACGGACGGGGTCGACGAAACTGTGCTCGGCAATCTGTTGGGAAGTTTGTTGGAAAAGGGGACGAAAAATTCTTTAATAATACAAGATATGGGAGTACAGATCGCCGATTGTTGCATTTTCATAGTTCGGTGCGCGGATTTGTTGATGTCCCTGGAGGCGACTCCGAAAAAGATGCGAAAACACCTGAAAAACTCAATAACGGGGATCGTGAGGGACGAGCTACAAAATTATTTCCACAAAAGGGACTGTTTAACACCTTACGTTCTTTTTAAAAATGCCATACAGCTCACGTGGGACGGTACGCTTACTTTGGTACCCCTGTTGTTGGACTACGTTTTCAGCGATGACGTTAAGCCGTTCAAAAAAAACCAAGCACTTGAGCTGCTCAGGTTGTTCTACGCGAATCATCGATATTTGAGCACAAAGCCAGAAAAAATCAAGAAGAAACTCTCCGAAGAACACTCGCGATTCGCCGAAAACGTCAACAACCTCTTCAAAAGCCTGTGCGACAATCCAGAAAGAGCCGTTAAGGAAAAATTCATTTCGGGTTTGTTCAACGTGCTGGCAACCATGAAAACCAGCCGGCTAAACATCGAGATCAACTGGGAGAAAATTGCGGAGAACGTCAGGGAATACAGGAGTTTCGTGACGTTCTCGAAAGACGCCAAGTCGTCATTTAACAGACTCTGCAATCACCTCAACGTCTCGCATTTAGTCAAGATGAAACCAAAAACGGTTAATATCAGTGTACCGGTCGACGAAGACGAAAACAGCGAGAACGAAGGAACGGGGAAGCCCGACAAAAAGAAGAAAAAGAAAACGAAAAATAAAGAGAAGCTGAAGTTGAAGAAAGAAGCGAAAGAGCTGAGATTGAGCAGTTTGTCTGAAGGTTTCAAAGACTTGGACTTTGCCGCTGCCAAGAACGTCGAAACGAGTGAAAACGAAGGCGAAGAGGAGAAAAATGATGTCAGTGATTTAAATGGGGACATTAAAGGTACTAAAAAGAGGAAGAAAAGTGGCAAATCGCAAGAACAAGAACAAGAAGGAAGGAAGACCGCCAAGAAAAAGAAAAATGAAAAGGACACAAGTGAAAGTTCTTTGAGTGCAACTAACGGCTCTTCCAACGAAAGAGACAATGTTAACAAGCGTAAAGGGAACGAGGACACTAAACTTCAAAAGAAGAAAAAAGTTCTACACTAATTAAAATGTTTTATTTTTTAAATAAATGTACAGGAAGTTGCGATTTTTTTAATAAAATATTGTTTCAAAACCGAACACACAACAGGGTTTAATAAACACACCTTATCGCCTACGCAGAATTGTCGCTTAGCTAAAAAAAAAAGAAAAAAATTACAAAAGATGTCCGAGTGAAAATATGATTAAAAGACTTTCAACCTCTGAATCGCTGGAAAGGTGTCCGAACAGCGACGTTTCTGCAAAGAAATCTTTATAAAACACGAAACATACGAATAAAAACATTTTTACCATACTGTTTACTAGAACTTGTACCTTCATACAGTATTTCGAATTTTGATGACGCCTGCAAAATTATTCATAAAATGTAATTAAATACACCAATATGTTCCTACTTACAGCTTCTAAGTCTGTACTCAACAAGTAATACAGTTCTTTAGTGACCGACTCTGCTTCAATGGCAAAATCCGTATTGTACATGGTCTTTCTGAACCTCTTCGTCTTCACATTTTTCAGTGGCGGACAATATCCATGGATCGTATCCTTCTTGTCACTAATCTCGCCTTGGTTAGAGCAATCCAGCATCTGAGAAATATCCGCGGTCTTAAACAGTGTCGAAGTGTCGTTACAAATGTTGGTTTTGTACGATTCTATTATTGTCGGTAACTTTTTCAGAGTGCCGTAAAAGACAGACTTTGCAAAGTACACGCTTCCTTCGTTTTCGTCCGGATTCAGATATATTTTTGATAGTTTTTTTACCTTCTCCGGTTTAGTTTGAAGTAATTCTCGAAGCTTGCAGGCTTCTTCCTAAAAGTGGCATGTTTTTAAAGTTTAATCAAATGTGAATAATTTTACATAGGGAAGGCGTAATATGAATTGTTCTTCTAAATCAATTTTGTCCTCTTCAAGTTCCATTTTGTTTTCCGCAATTAACTGCATTCAAATTTAAATTTCATCACAGCAGCAGCCATCTAAGTTTATCTTGTTGAAAGATTTCCGCTTTTTCAAATTTAAATTAGGCCTACTGCAAACAAGAAGTAGTTCTAATGTAGTTTTGCATGAGTAGATTCTTTGTTCTGTGGGTCTGAATGAGGCGGGATTTTTAAGTATCTTAGAAGTGTTTCTTTGAATATTTACATGCAAAGTAGATTATCCAGAATGTTTCCTTTTGTTTTGTTCACTATTGCTTTAGTACTGATTGCGAACAACTTTTTTTAAGAAAATTGATGAGAGAAATAATAAGAGTCGTTAACAAACTACTTTATTAAAAAATATCACATTCTGGTAATTCTGCAAAATCTACAAAAATACTCTGCGTCCTATCACTACCCACTTCACAGTTATTTGTACGTTCTTTATTTGAATTATTAAAATCCTGCGGGATATAAATTTCTTCAAACAGTTCCTCGTTTTCGTGCAATTCCGCCCACCTACTAGCTACTGCTTTACTGATGGCTTTACGAAACGCCATACAATGGACATGGGGAAGTTTTTCATATTTTATTCTCGAGAAACCTATTTTGGCTAAAACGTAGCGCCAGGACTTCATATACTTGGCATTAGCACCCACATGATTGGAATCAGGTGTTATCACAATTAAGAGACCCTCGTTCTTCAATATTTCATAGGCTTTTTCGCAACACAGGAGCCTCTGCTTTGGGCTTGGCAGATACTCCAATAGTAAACTAAATACTACGATGTCGAAATAGTTTCTTGGTAATTCATCAAAGCCGTTGTTGTTCGGAGCCAAAGTGTCTCCCACTTTGACATTTAAAAAATCAGATTTATATACTCCATCAACTGCTGGAGCAATGTCTATAGCAGTTACTTCAAACACTTCGAATTTATTGAAGGGATTGTAACAGCTACCTACATCTAGCAGTTTTAATTTGGTCGTCTTCTGTAGCTCATACGAATCCGATTCAGCAAGTTCACAATTTATTTTCAGAGATATATCTTTTTCTTTATTTCTAAATTTACTAATTTCATTTGTAAAATAGTTCATGCAGCTGTCGACCGTCCACTTTATTCTTGATTTTGTGTTTGATTCGATATTTTTTTCCCAATATTGGCAGGCTAGTTCTTGCATTGAATGAGCATACTTTTTAAGGTTTTCTTCATCACTACAATGGTTTTGCCATGCATGTTCCGATCCTATTCTCTTAGATGCCTCACGTAAATTCTGATGGACCGATTTTATGAAGTCTGACAATTCCAAATGACCTGCAGAAGCCATTTACGCAACACAAAATAAAATAAAATGTAAATAAACTGATAAGAACAGAAATTAATTTGGTAATTTAAAATTAGTTTGTATAAAAAATTATTTAAAAGCAGATGTTCATCTAAACCTAACCTACACCCACAAAAATAATTTTTAATATCTATCCTTCCGACAGAAGGCTAACTTCACGCTTCACACTTGAGTAGTTACAATGCATGATTTCTTCTTCTGCCTGTTATACCACATTACAGACAAATCTGTTCTGTGCTATTATGAACATTGATTTATTTTTTATTTCAATTTCAAAACCAATCACGTGTAACAATTGGTAACAATTATTGTCAAGATGTTTTTTTTTAGATAAATATGTGGAAACAATGGACTAATAAGTTGAAAACAGATAACTAAAAAATATATCCAAATGTTTGCAGAAGAATATACTCGCTATACTTTGCTGATGCAAAGAAACAAGTATTAGAGTTTGTTTTGTATTATAATGGGGTTTACTTATACAGTTTTTGTTTTAGTTCGTCATGGAGCTTAGATAAAAGAACTGTGATATTGATAATTGCCTTATCGCTACCTGTTTTTGTATTTTGTGTGGCTTATGTGACTCTGTTTGGAATCTACGAAAAAATTGTTTATCCACATTCCCTAAATTTGAAAGGTAAATATTTACCTTTAAAAATATCGAATTCTGTTATGGATTATTTCAGAAGTACCTCAACATGGCTTACACCGTGCACTTTTATACAATGCATTTTCAAATGAAGGAAATGTAACTCGAGACTTGCATTTCAAGGTAGGTCAAAATAACGATGCGCCGGCATATAAACTGGTTTGCTACTACAACTTTCCTTCGAACAAACAATCACTGCAAGTAAAGGACTTGGATTCAACTCTGTGCACACACATAAATGCTGCTTTCGCTCGAGTCGTCAATAATTCCATGTTTTTAGACCAAGACAGTCAAAACGTGCTTACGGATTTAGTGAAATTGAAAGAAACAAATAAAAACCTAAAAATTTTGTTGTCTGTCGGCGGCGCTGAGGAACCGAATGGATATTTGGACATGGTTATGAATCACAAAAATAGGAAGCAGTAAAGTATTTCAGATTAATTATTCTTTCAAGGTTCCGATAAGAAATATTTTATAGGTTCATCAAGTCAGTTCTGTATTATGTTAAAAACTACAACGTGGACGGGGTAGATTTGGACTGGGAGTTCCCCAACGAGGCTCCCAGTGGAGACAAACACCAACGCACGCATTTCACGCAGCTCTTGGAGGAGCTTAGGCAAACTGTAAACCTTCAGACAAAATACAAATTCTTGGTATCGGTGGCTGTCGCGGCTCCAACAACCATCATCGAGAACTCCTACGACGTCCCGTACATGAATGAGTAAGACAGCGTTTCGTTTCTCTTGCTACAGCTGCTAAACTTTTATTTATTCTAGGTATGTGGATTACATCAACCTGATGTCCTACGACTACCATTTCTACACCAGGTTTACCCCGTTTACGGGGATAAATTCACCACTGTACGGTACGAGTAGTGAGAAATATTACTTGGCCACCTTGAATATTAACTACTCGTCGAATTATTGGAATTATTTGGGGATGGACCGCAGCAAGATAATAGTAGGGCTTCCAACGTACGGCCACACCTTTAGGTATGTAGCTATGATAGATACGCTTTTAAAAATTCAGAAATAGTCGATTTAGATAATGAAATAATAAATGATCAAATTTTATTTTTTCTTTTTTGTGATTGGAGGTGGAAAAAATGAGGAAAATCGGTTTCGAAGCGTCTCAACCATTAATTCAAGAGACGTCATGAAATCGTTTCGACGGTCTGTGACAAATTTAAATGTGACGGGAATAATTCTGTGTGATTTCGTTCTTATGTACGCTTAATTACATTTGTGGTATATCTTTTTTAATAAGTAATACATTTTTGCTTTTAATATTTGCATACCAGTAGTCCAGGAAAGTTAGACATAAAAAGACGGAATAAGTGAATTTTTATACTCTTGATATTTTTTCATCGAAAAGTGTAGGTTTTGAGGTCAGGAAACACGTGCCACAAACGTAATCACCAGCAACATACAGCGTTTTCAGATATAGACGTATATACAGGGAGGATTAATAAATGGTGACCAAAAAATTAAACCTCTTATTGTTTGGTGAATTTTAAGGGGAGTCTTTCCAATAAAGTTTTTATTTAGGACGCTTCGTTAAAAAGATACAAGGTGTTAACTTCAAAAATATTTTTAATTTTTTTTTAATAATTTAAAAACTAGTTAGTGAAATAATTTGAAATTGGGCACATGTATTTGTGTAAACATTGCCCAAAATCTAAGGGCTCAGTTTTTGGACAATGTTTACGTAAATACATGTGCCCAATTTCAAATTATTTCACTTTCTAATTTTTAAATTATATAAAAATATTAAAAACATTTTTTTAAGTATCTTGTATTTTTTTAATGAAGTTTCCTAGATAAAAACTTTATAGGAAAGACTCACCTTAAAATTCACCATAGAATATAAGGTTTAATTTTTGGTCATCATTTGTGAATCACCCTGTATATGATTTTTGACATTTTTCGACCAAAAACTGCCAATATCTCAATGAAGATGCATTTTTTCGAAAAAAGTTTCAAATAAAAGTTGTTCAACATTAAATTTCCTACAACATTGTTCCTATGAAAAATTAATTTTGTCAATGGTTTTCATGTATATTTTTTAAATGAAGTATAGATATGTGAAAATTAATGATTTGGAGCCAAATTAAGGGTCAATTCATTTTTAAATAACAAAAGTGAATTAGAGAAAAGAAAATTGCGGGAAATTTTTGGAAAATCTTGTATAGTTTTCTTAGTTTTAAATATTTATGAGCATCAAATATATAATTTTATTGATTTTTGAGGGTGTTCATTACGAATTAATTATGCGGTTTTTAAAATTTTCCAGAAAAATCAGTTTTTTATAATTTGTAATATAACGAAATTGAAAATTTAAATTTGATGACAATAGGAATAGGAAAGGAATTTTCTGGAGCTGCAAAGGTATAATAAAAAAAGTTTTATATCAATATAATTTTTAAAAATTTATTTGTAATTAAAAAACAACTTTTTTATTTATTAGTTTTAACAACTTTTTATGGACTTCCATATCTAGATTTCTTCTCAAAAACAAGATCAGATATCAAGGTCATTTTAAGGTCAAAAAACTGTATAATTATTAACTACTTTTAGCACTGTGATATTTTTATTGGAAAACGTTCCGCTCTTGTAAATTCCGAGGCCACAAAAGAGGGTCTCATTAAAAATTTTGAATTCGATCTTCAAACGACCTTGAAGTCAAAGTCAAGGTCATGTCAAGATAACCTCCTTGTCACCCCACAACTTTTGTATGAGACATATTTTTAAAAGTGCTCCCAACATGGTACTTCGTTGTCTCAAGATTCCTGTTTTTTTTTGTTTTTTATGGCCATTTTATGGCCTAAATTTTGTTAAATCGAAACAATAATAACTTTATAGGAAAGATTCCCCTTAAAATTCACCAAAGAATACGAGGTTTCGTTTTTGGTCACAATTTGTGAATCACCCTGTATAATTGCTGATTAAAATGTTTTTTTTCCAAAACCAAAAATCCTGTAGTACTTATTTGTCATTCAAACAAGTAAAAATTACTAGAAAAAATCCTTTTCTAAATTTATAAATAAAAATGTTTCCTTATTTGGGCCAAATTTAATGACGGGCATTATACAGGGTGTCTCAAGTTCTAATACCCTGTATCTGGAAAACGAAGCTTTAAAACTTACATTCATATGAACTTTTTTCTTTATTTTTGTGAATTCTAATGACTATTAAATTTTCCCAATTAAAATCTATACAGTTTTTAAAATAATCACGCTTTCTTAACCATTTCCTTGGAAAATACTGTTAAAAAAAATAGGAATGTCTTGAAAACTGGTATAGATTTTTGCAACCTAGAAAAGTTTTTAAATCTACCTGAATAATCTGAATATATGGAATATTTTGGTCAAAATTTGGTGTAAACATTATGTCGTAATTTCATCTGATGATTTTTTTATTAAAATATTTTCTAAAAGTTATTTTTTACATTATTTATACAGGCTGTTACAAATTCGCTTATCAGGGGACCAACATTATGCCTCTAAAAAATCATGGCTAACATGATTAGTTTTCGAAATATTTGAAGAAAAACGGAATTTTGGAAATCCGTTTTTTGTTTCATTTCAGCCTTGTTTGCGGTAATATTGAAAAAAGAAGAACACTTTCTCTTGGCCACTTTTTGCCCTCTATCGAATGGCATAATCGATTTTTATATGTAACATTTCATCTCTCCAGGACCATCATCAAAATTTCCTGGGTCGTATTTAAAAAAAATGAAGTTGCTGATGGTCCTGGAAAGACGAAACGTTACATATAAAAATTGATTATGCGATTCGATAGAGGGCAAAAAGTTGCCATGAGAAAATTTAGGTTTTTTTTTCAAATATTTCGAAAACTAATCATGTCAGCCTTGATTTTTTAGAAACATACTACTAGCCACTTCGTATCTCTTATCATTTCCGAGATATCTGTAATGAGAAGCGAATTTGTATAGCCTGTATTTTATGACCCAAGTTTTCAAGTTCAATTTCATCTAATTTTTCCTTCTTTTTTTTTTTAATTTCTCTGTTTCTATGACCAATCTTTTCGGTAATTTCGAGCCTCTACAAGCGAATTCTACTCTTCTAGGTAAGCTCCCGCACTAACCGCTAATTCTCTGACTTCCAGACTTACCAACATCTGGAACAACGGCCTATACGCGCCGTCTTTGGGTTTCGGAAACCTGGGCTCTCTAGGTTTCGTCGACTACCCCGAAGTGTGCGCCTTCCTGTCGTCCAATCACATCACGCCCGTCTTCGACATGGACACCAAGAGCCCCTACGCCTCCAAGTCCCACGAGTGGATTTCTTTCGATAACACCGAGAGTTTCATGTACAAGTCGGAATTCATCAGGGACAACAAGTTCGGGGGCGCCATGGTGTACTGTCTGAACAGCGACGACTACCGGGGGGTGTGCCAGAGCCCCGAGGGTAACGGGAAAAAGTTCCCGCTGGTAAAGGTGGCCCGGCAGATTCTGGCGGAGCCGGGAACGTGATCTTCGCGGGTCGTGGTGGAGGGTGTGACGGGGTTCGGGGTAGGGTTTGGTTTCTTTGTTGGTTTTTTTTTTGTGAAATGTTTCGGTAATTATTTATTATAGCGGAAAACTTTCTTCGTGTACTCTTTGTTTTCCATGGTGTCGAACACGAATCCGAATTGTGCGGTCGAAGTTTGTTTCCGAGAAATTTTTTTCAAAATTCTGACCCGTGCGCTTAATGCAACGCTCATCGTCACTATTTGCAACGCTATATCGTCTGTATATCTTTTAAATGAAATTTTAATAGTTCGTGGGATCATATTTTTTGTTTTTTTTAAGGAAAACTAAAAAATAAATAATACATTTTTCGTTTAAATTTCTAAAAATATGTGTCCGAGGAATTCTGGGATTTTTAATTACAAATTTTTAAGAAAATTAGATCATAAAATCTGAAAACGTGACAAAATTATTAGTAGGCCTTTTATTGCACTTTATGACGGGGATACGCTGGTGCCAATGCGGATTTTGGAGGTTAAAAAAAGAAAAATTTGTTAACAGGTAAGGACCAGTGAGAAAATTTTGTTTGGGTTATAGACCAGGGCGGATCTGTCGAAATATCCCAATTCTTGGATGTAAGAGGGGGCAAGCTAATTTTTGCTGGATTACCTTCAGTACAACTCGCATAATAAAAGTGTAGATCCCTAGATCTGGGCGAGGTCCGGAACATTTTCAAAATTGCAAAAATATTTAGAAAATTTTTAAAAAATGCCAATTTTATCCAAGTTTTTCACTTATATCTTGGAACCTATGCACTTTGGAAGAATATTGAACAGGAAAAAAAGTTTTAGAATTGAATTTTGCACAATATACTGCCAGTTAAAATGTTAAAAATTTATTACTGATGTTGCAAAATAGCAATAATTGATGAAAAAAAGGCAAAACCATCAAGTTTTTTCGATAATTTTTTAAATTATTTTAATTGCTCCGAGGGTATTCTTATTTTCGTAAAAAAAACTTTAGAGTATAATAAAACAACACACCAAATTTCATTCAAATCGGTTCGATAGTTTTCGCGAAATAATTTTTTGAAAAGAATTTTGAAAAAAATTTTCGAATTTTCAAAATGTTGCACAGCCTCAAATTAAGCATCTAGGTACTTGAAAAATTTTTCACATAGAAAAGACCGCTCAACCTTTCAAATAATTTTTGAAAAATTGAAATCGGTTGATTAGGATGGCCACAGTAAATTTTTAAAGTTAACATTCTTTTTTTTTATTTTTAACAATAAGATTACATTTATCAATTTACAATTTATTTTTTTTGAATAATTATAATTTTAAAGTACTCGAAAAGACGTTTCTTTGAAAAAAAATTATAACTTATGAAAAAAAAAACTAAATTGCAAATTGATAAATGTAATCAAATTGTTTAAAGATAAAAAAAAGAGTGTTAACTTTAAAAATTTACTGTGGCCTTTCTAATCAACCGATTTCAATTTTTCAAAAACCATTTGAAAGGTTGAACGGTTTTTTCTATGCGAAAAAATTTTCAAGTATCTAGATGCTTTATTTGAGGCTGTGCAACATTTTGAAAAATAAAAAATACCTATTTTATCTGAGTTTTTTACTTATATCTTGGAACCTATGCACTTTGGAAGAATATTGAACAGGAAATAAAGTTTTAGAATTGAATTTTGCACAATATACTGCCAGTTAAAATGTTAAAAATTTATTACTGATGTTGCAAAATAGCAATAATTGATGAAAAAAAGGCAAAACGATCAAGTTTTTTGGATAATTATTTTAAATTATTTTAATTGCTCCGAGGGTATTCTTATTTTCGTAAAAAAAACTTTAGAGTATAATAAAACAACACACCAAATTTCATTCAAATCGGTTCGATAGTTTTCGCGAAATAATTTTTTGAAAAGAATTTTGAAAAAAATTTTCGAATTTTCAAAATGTTGCACAGCCTCAAATTAAGCATCTAGGTACTTGAAAAATTTTTCACATAGAAAAGACCGCTCAACTTTTCAAATGATTTTTGAAAAATTGAAATCGGTTGTTTAGGATGGCCACAGTAAATTTTTAAAGTTAACATTCTTTTTTTTTATTTTTAACAATTAGATTATATTTATCAATTTGCAATTTCTTATTTTTGAAAAATTATAATTTTACAGTACTCGAAAGACGCTTCTTTGGAAAAAAAATTATAACTTATGAAAAAAACTAAATTGCAAATTGATAAATGTAATCAAATTGTTTAAAAATAAAAAAAAGAATGTTAAATTTAAAAATTTACTGTGGCCGTCCTAATCAACCGATTTCAATTTTTCAAAAACCATTTGAAACGTTAAACGGTCTTTTCTATGTGAAAATTTCTAGTATCTAGATGCTTTATTTGAGGCTGTGCAACATTTTGAAAAATTGAAAAATTGTTTCCAAATTTTTTTCAAAAAATTATTTTGCGAAAACTATCGAACCGATTTTAATGAAATTTGGTGTGTTGTTTTATTATACCCTAAAGTTTTTTTTACCAATACTAGAATGCCCTCGGGGCAATTAAAATATTTTTTAAAAATTATCCAAAAAACTTGATTATTTTGCCTTTTTTTCATCAATTATTGCTATTTTGCAACATCAGTAATAAATTTAAACATTTTTAACCTACAGTATGTTGTGCAAAATTCAATTCTAAAAGTGTTTTTCCTCTTCAATATTCTTCCAAAATGCATAGGTTCCAAGATATAAGTAAAAAACTCGGATAAAATAGGTATTTTTTAACATTTTTGCAATTTTGAAAATGTTCCGGACCTCGCCCAGATCTAGGGATTTACACTTTTATTCTGCGAGTTGTACTGAAGGTAATCCAGAAAAAATTTGCTTGGCCCCTCTCACACATCCACCTCAAAACAGATCCGCCCTAGTCTATTATAAGTAATAGAAAAAACCAAAACTTAAACTCGAGATAAAGGGAAATTGTGAAATGGGGGTGGTGTTTGAGGGTTGAAAATTAATTTTTGTGATTTTTGGCGAAATTATGACCTTGCGTAAAGTGTTCTACACAAAAGTTGTAGATAATAAAAAAATGACGCGGGAGGAGCGCCAGGCCCGTGTACGCGCTTGAACTGAATTTGGAACCAAAAAATCTCGCTTGCGATCGTGTACAGGCCGTTCATTAACGTTCACTTTTACAGCTGCTAGCGCGTTTATTACATGAACTAGCAATGTAACACTCTGAAAATAAAAGTTTAAACCTTTCTTTAATTGTCTCCAGTTTGATACATCCAATACTTAATTAACAATTAAGGTTATAAAAAAGAAAGCCATCTTGGGAACAAAAAGCCTAGGTAATTTTTCTTTTTTAAAAATTATCATAAAAAGAAGCTCTATTTAACGCAAAAAGAGCAAATTCCCGAGCGGCTTTTGCCTGACCTTGGGACAATTTGTTTACAACACTGTATAGCATGACCTACTTTGTTAATTGTAAAGGGCAACTTAATTTCAACTTTTTGAAATTTTTCTTTTTCGATACGTTTTTTTGGATCAATTAGAACCTATGTCTGGGACATTTCACGTGAAGCGGACAGCGAAAAAAGTGGCGTTCTGAAATTTGTTCATATTCAGCTTAAATGTATTTCTAGTAGCACACAATTTTTTTTGTGTGATGTTTATTTGCCAAGTTCTGGGCTTCTAAAGAATTGTCGAAATCGAAATTCGTATTTTGCGGTAATAGCTTTTCGAATTAAACAAATTTATTTTATAATATTAAATATGGCGACTTATATTGAAAATTTACTCTTCTTTTTAATTATAACATGAAATTGAAAAAAATATTTTTTTTATGTACAAAACGGGAAGTGAACGTTTCAAATCAGAATTTTAGTAACTTTGACCATTTTTCTTTATTTTTTTTCATTTCAAATTATAGCCTAAAGTACATTTAAAGTACCACACTCAGTGCGACACGTATATACTTTTATTCATCTATCTTCTAAGCAAATGCATATCCCATTTTAAAACTTCTGGTGTATTATAAAGCCACTTATTTGCAATTTGCCAACTTAGTGTCACTTCTTTCGAGTTACTTTTTTGATATTTTCATTCGACAAACCCTTCCCCGCCATAAAGTGCAATAATATGTCTACTAATAAATTTTTCACCTTCAAACTCTAATTCGACTGGAGTAATAATGAAAATTCCAGTTTTGTGTATAGAAAGAATTATGAAAATTTTTTTTCGCGAAAACTGAGTTTGATTTCACAAATATACGTCGGATCCATGTTCAGCACCCTCGAAATTGAGGTGTTGCCTATACTTTATGCATTTTCGAGAGTTTCACTCTGTATTAAACAATTACCAGTATTTTTATCTCCGTGTGGGTGCGAAAATTGACAGAAATCTACATTGGAAGGTATCAAAAAAAATAACCTTTAAGATCAACAAGAATTTATTTACAGGGTTTGACGACTCTTATTTTATTCCACAACAGTAAAAATCGACGTAAATATGATTACATACAATTAAATACATGATAAATACATATAAACTAGTTTAAACGCATTCCGATAATTTTATATACATTTAAATGTCTTTAGATACAGTTTTAATAACTTAAATTCATGTAATTCTTAAAATTTCGATTTCCTTTCGTAGATACCTTCATTCGATACAAACTAATCATAGATTTTTAAAATCACGTAAAAATTTAAATGTCGCGTGATCGAGAACGCACTGTGACGTCATTTAGTGCTATCGAGAACACAGCCTGCTTCAAGACGAGATGAGACGGAGCCAAATCTAAAGAAACGCGCGTACTGTGAGCCTCGAAGCAAAGTGAAGTGACTTGATTTGTTATACGATCGCACTAATGACGTCACGAATTACCGTGGCAGCAGACACCAGTTTAGAACGTGTATTTTCTAATATTTTGTTTATATAAATCGTTTCTAGAAATTATGCGAGGCGTCTAACCCCTCAGTTTTCTCTAATTGGCTCCGACAATGCACCGTTTAATTGCTCTTGAGTCTCATTTGACAATTCGATTTTGGACGTAGCCTTAGTTTCTAGTCAACTTTGCGGTTATATAAAAGAGTTCTTGGTCGATTTGCAATAAAAATATTGTTTACTGTTGCGATTTAAAATTTAAATTGACGAACAGCGTCACAAGGTCATTCAGCGTTTTGATTCGTCATATATTCAATGTTGTTTCGGTTTCGTTCAAATTTATATGCGTTTTTCAAAAATTATGTTACGAATAACGAGAACTGAATTCAGTTTTAGCGAGAAAGGTATATTTCAACCCGTGAAGTGCCAATTGTAAAGTATGCAGGGGTGGGCTATGTCAGGAAC